GTGCGTGCTACAGTAGGCCTGTGCGTGCGTGCTACAGTAGGCATGTGCGTGCGTGCTACAGTAGGCATGTGCGTGCGTGCTACAGTAGGCATGTGCGTGCGTGCTACAGTAGGCCTGTGCGTGCGTGCTACAGTAGGCCTGTGCGTGCGTGCTACAGTAGGCATGTGCGTGCGTGCTACAGTAGGCATGTGCGTGCGTGCTACAGTAGGCATGTGCGTGCGTGCTCCAGTAGGCATGTGCGTGCGTGCTACAGTAGGCATGTGCGTGTGTGCTACAGTAGGCATGTGCGTGTGTGCTGCAGTAGGCATGCGCGTGTGTGCTGCAGTAGGCATGTGCGTGTGTGCTGCAGTAGGCATGTGCGTGTGTGCTGCAGTAGGCATGCGCGTGTGTGCTGCAGTAGGCATGTGCGTGTGTGCTGCAGTAGGCATGTGCGTGTGTACTGCAGTAGGCATGTGCGTGTGTGCTGCAGTAGGCATGCGCGTGTGTGCTGCAGTAGGCATGCGCGTGTGTGCTGCAGTAGGCATGTGCGTGTGTGCTGCAGTAGGCATGTGCGTGTGTGTTGCAGTAGGCATGCGCGTGTGTGCTGCAGTAGGCATGCGCGTGTGTGCTGCTGTGTCACGTGGTCTGTGATCGTGTCACAGTGTATGTGTCACTGTGCATTCACATGCGCATGTGCCATGGCAGTAACCCATGTGAATCTGAACGTGTGTGTTGCTCCCACCATGGGCATACACACATACTCAAGAGAAGAGAGGTCAACACAGTCAATGCAGTCAACCCAAGTCCCTGTTCAATGTACCCGCCTCTCCTTCAGGTTGTACGCGCGGCGCCACGGGTACCGACTGGTGGCTGAGAACGGGTCAAGGTTCACTCAGGACAGACACCCATCGTGGTTCAAGGTGAGGGCTTTGCACCCGATGTAGAGGGTTTACCACGCAATACATGGAGCACCGCGCACTGCATGGAGCACCGCGCACTGCATGGAGCACCGCGCACTGCATGGAGCACCGCGCACTGCATGGAGCACCACGCACTGCATGGAGCACCGCGCACTGCATGGAGCACCGCGCACTGCATGGAGCACCGCGCACTGCATGGAGCACCACGCACTGCATGGAGCACCACGCACTGCACTACTCTCTCTGCCTTTCCTCGCCACCCACGGATCAGCTTTCCACTGCGTGTTGTCAACCGTCCGTATCTGCTCGCTCTATTTTCAACCCTGCAACAGCCTTTTCTTTTCACCAATGTTTAGTTACATCTATGCCATTGCCAGACCTGCCATTGCCAGACCTACCATTGCCAGACCTGCCATTGCCAGACCTGCCATAGCCAGACCTACCATTGCCAGACCTGCCATTGCCTGACCTGCCATTGCCAGACCTACCATTGCCAGACCTGCCATTGCCAGACCTGCCATTGCCAGACCTACCATTGCCAGACCTGCCATTGCCTGACCTGCCATAGCCAGACCTGCCTTGGCCGGACCTGCCATAGCCAGACCTGCCTTGGCCGGACCTGCCATAGCCAGACCTGCCTTGGCCGGACCTGCCATAGCCAGACCTGCCTTGGCCAGACCTGCCATTGTGCCCATCAAAACCGTGTGGATTTCGCATGTGAGTAGTGCCACTCCACAACGGGGCTGCATTAGCACCGTTTTGCACCGCACCTCGTCGTGAGCAAGGAAACGCAGGCCAACCCGGTTGGCACGGCTGGCCCGGTTGGCACGGTTGGCGCGGTTGGCGCGGTTTGCACGGTTGGCACGGTTGGCATGGTTGGCACGGTTGGCGCGGTTGGCATGGTTGGCAGGGTTGGTGCGGTTGTTGCATGTTTCGAAATACAATTTCGAGTTCAAATTCGTGTGCCTCCATTAACCCCGTACGTCCGCCAGAACTACTTCTCCTGGCTGCTGAGGGACAATCTCACCGACTCACTGGAGGGGCAGGTGTGGCTCCCACAGGACCCCGCGCTGCTGCTACAGCCGCCCTCCGCGCTACAGCCGGAGGGAGGCCCCGTGGCTCTGATTCCACGCAACGGCGACTCAAGGGAGGGGTTCTTTGGGGAACCAGAGGCTCTGTTCCGCAAGGACACGGACTATGTCAATGCGGGCGTCATGCTCTGGCGGCGATCTCCCGACACCTTTAAGGTGGGGGGTGGGGGATTGAGTGCCTTGGGGAACCAGAGGCTCTGTTCCGGAGGGACACGGACTATGTTAATGCGGGCGTCATGCTGTGGCGGCGATCGCCAGACAGCTTCAAGGTGGGTATGGGAGTGAGTGGCTTGGGGTGGGAAACGCAGGTGTGGAATTTTCTGGAGAAGCGGAGGCGCTGTTCCGCAAGGACACGGACTACGTCAATGCGGGCGTGATGCTGTGGCGGCGATCGCCCGCCACTTTCAAGGTGGGGGGTTGAGTGGCTTGAGAGGCTTGGGAGGGAACCGGGATTTGAGTATGTGAGGGCGGGGGGTTCCAAGGGGTTGCTTAGGAAAGGAAGTGGAAAGGAGGCGTTGCTGTGAAGGAGGATCGGGCCAGGTTCGAGGTGGGTGGGGGAGTGAGCCGTGCAGGTGAGCCGATTGGCACACGTGGGGCTTGCACCAAGATGTGCTTTATGGCCACGTGATTATTTTCTGCAGCTGTCTCGTGCCCTGCCTGTGGGACGGAGGTGCTAGTTCATGGGAGCATGCTTGCTACCTTCAGTGACACCCGCGTCTGCTACTCAGGAGGTACATGGCCAACATGGTCGCGAGCTGTCTGTGGCTGTGGGGCTGTCTGTGGCTGTGGGGCTGTCTGTGGCTGTGGGGCTGTCTGTGGCTGTGGGGCTGTCTGTGGCTGTGGGGGGGATTCTTGAGTCGATTCACAAGTCACTCCGGGTCGACTCAAAAGGATGCCAACAGCATGTGAAGGGCTCAGACGTGTTGAAAAGGAGCGACCGATTGATTGGCCTTGGGATGTGGTGTGGGATCTGTGATCGGTTGACATGTGTGGGGTTTACTAGGGGCCGTCAGCATGCTCTGGGAGGAACAGAGGGGCTGTATTGATGCGGGAATGATGGTGTTCGTTCAAGTGGAGATAAATATTCAGCTTATATCAGCTGCATGGTGATATAAGCTCCAGCTCCAAACGGCTATATAAGTAACCGGAGCCGTTTGGAGGAGGCCGTGAGACAGCTGCAGCTGCAAGCGCTCATCAGTGGCATTGGGGGTTGTCTAATGGTTTCCGAGCCCGTCCAGAATCTGGTTTCCGAGCCCGTCCAGAATCTGGTTTCCGAGCCCGTCCAGAATCTGGTTTCCGAGCCCGTCCAGAATCTGGTTTCCGAGCCCGTCCAGAATCTGGTTTCCGTCAATCGAAACCTTCTCTCCGGTTTTGTTGCCGATTCAATCATTGCCTGCTCTTTGCCCTTCCCACCTGTCTCTCTCTAACACATAAACAATCATTCCACTGCTCGTGTCCGCTTCCCTCCCTCCGCCCTCACAGTTCTTCCAGCAGTGGTACCACGTGCAGAGCGGCGAGTACCACCTGTACGGCCACGTGTGGGAGGCGATGCAGTCCAATTGAACCAGGTGGTCTGTCAACCCCAGCGGATAACCATTCGACCTCTTGTCCCCTCCCCCCCCTCTGCCCTCACAGTTCTTCCAGCAGTGGTACCACGTGCAGAGCGGCGAGTACCACCTGTACGGCCACGTGTGGGAGCAGGACCGGCTGAACAAGGTGGCGCGCTGGCCGCAGTGGCGGGGGAGGGTGGTCGTGGTGCCGCACCAGGAGCTCACAGGGCCGCGGGGAGCCATGGTGCGCCACCTGTGGGGGGGGGTGGCAAGCGAGGAGCGCGACAGGGTGGTGTATGAGGCCCTGGAGGAGGCACTGGGTAGCCTGCCGCAAGGGCAGTAAGGGCAGTAAGGGCAGCGCATAAGTGGGCTTGAATGGCCTTTCTGCGGGTAAGGCCGTGCCGGGAAGGAGTCTCGGTTCGTGCGTTCTGCGGGCAGCCGCGTGCGTGTGTGGGTGACGCCACAGGACGCAGAAGCCATGTCAGAGCTGTGTGCTGTAGGTGGAGGAGATAGGTGGAGGCATTGGAAGGAAGTGGGTATGCGAGGCATTGGAAGGAAGTGGGTATGCGAGGCATTGGAAGGAGCGACTGCATATACTGCTACTGTGTATATATGTACCACGCCATTGATTATGTCCTACTTTATAGCCAATATATGCACGTAAGGTATTGCTGTGAAGTAAAGGTACCATAGCTTTCTTATTTGACATTTCCGCAACGAGTACAAATTGTTGCAAGTGCTGCCTACATCAATCTCGCTGCTTGGTGTGGCATGATGGGCAACCTTCCTCCATGCAATTTTTATGAGGCCGCAAATGCAACTGATTCTGGCAGCCGAAACGACACACACAGCATGTCCTGCGACGTAGGGGAGAGGAGTGGAGAGGAGGAAAGAGATGAGGTGAGAGTCAGACTCTGTTGTCAACTTGTCACCTAGGCGCGAGTAAGGTGCGTCTCCGCTGTGCTAGGAACAATAACAAAATAGCCAGGCGAGATTGCAGATGCCTAGAGGCACATTCAACTGCACAGCACATCCCCCTTGCTCAAAAGCTCAGGAGACCACATGGCACACCCCCATCACACCCCCACCACACCCCCACCACACCCCCATCACACCCCCATCACACCCCCATCACACCCCCATCACACCCCCATCACACCCCCATCACACCCCCAGCACACCCCTATTGCACCCCCATCACACCCCCATGGCACCAAGGCGCTGAAGGCCCCAGCACGTGGCATCACCTTATTGGGCGCCACGTTCCTGACAGGGTGGATGGAGAGCGTGGCGGCATCCACTGCCGCGCCCAGGTGCCGCTCCACCTCCTGCTCACCCACACACGCGAGCACGCACGCACGCACGCAAGCAAACCGCAATTGCTCGCGGAGAGAAACGGCAATTGCAAGCATGGGGGACTCGTGCAGGCGCACATGGGGATGTTTGACTCGCCTCATAAGTCACCTCCCATCCATGGCACCCAGGTGCCGCGCCGCCCCACCTCCTGCTCTCCCATGCAGGCAGGCAGTGCACGCAGTGTGCAGGTATGGGGAACTATTGCTTTGAGTCAACTCACACGCAGTGCAGGCAAGCAGTGAAGGCAAGCATGGGGGTTGGGTTGGCCGTGCATGCATGGAGGGCATGCATGGAGGGCATGCATGGAGGGCATGCATGGAGGGCATGCATGGAGGGCATGCATGGAGGGCATGCATGGAGGGCATGCATGGAGGGCATGCATGGAGGGCGGGAGCAAGGCTCATGGGACAAGAGACGGTGAAGTCCATCACCTTACAGCCCACCCACCGATACCCCCACCAACAGTCCTCCTCTGTCATCCCACAAGCTGCAGCCATGCAGGGCAGCTCGTGCCATGCAGGGCAGCTCTTGCCATGCAGAGCAGCTCGTGCCATGTAGGGCAGCTCGTGCCATGCAGGGCAGCTCGTGCCATGCAGGGCAGCTCTTGCCATGCAGGGCAGCTCGTGCCATGCAGGGCAGCTCTTGTCATGCAGGGCAGCTCTTGTCATGAAGCTCACGCCTGAGCATGGGAGCAAGGGAGACAATCGCCACTTTCCCCCACACCTGCACCACTGTCACTCCCCCCACCTGCACCACTCCCCCCCTCCCCCTCACCACCCCACCTGCGTGACGGCCTCAGTGGTGTGGCCAGAGCGGTGGAAGCAGTAGGTGTGGATGAGCGGCAGGGCGCCCTCCCAGTGCGCGCGCGAGAAGGCGCCGCGGAAGGAGTCTGCAAGGGGAGAGTGGGGGGGGAGCGGGGGAGTGGGTGGAGGGCCGGGGTGGGGCGGGTGAAGGGATGGGGGAGTGGGCCGAGGATGGGCGTCCGAGAGGTGGGTGTTTGAGACGTGCATATAGGCCCAATGGGGAAGTCACTCTAGTAAATTCTCGAAGGTGGCCCAGGGGCAAGAGAAAAAGTACCGTCGTCTGGATGGGGGAGCGGGTGGGGGTAGGTAGGGTTGGAACGAGGGGCGTTCAGAGAGGTGTCAGCAGCATGGCTCCGTGTGGGATGAGGAGTTGTGGATGTGGAGGGATGAGGGGTAAGAAAGCGTGGTGGGATAGGGAATGCATTTTATAGCAGAGGGATGGGCTTCCATTCGATTCTTCAGCAAGTGCTATCAACATAAACGTTTTGAGTCGACTCGAAAAACGACGTCACGGCAGGGAAGGAATGAAGGAGCGCACCGAGGAAGGTGATGGCAGAGGCGGGCAGGTTCATGACGACGTGGTCCACATGCCGCCACGGCGCCACCAATGCCACCTCTATGCCCCCCTCATCCTTGCTCTCGCACTTCCCTCCCTTCCCTCCCTTCCCTCCCTTCCTCTTCCCTTTGCCTTTCCTCCCTGATCTTCCCCCATTCTGCTCCCCCTTACCCTCACCCAACCCCTCCTGCTTCTCTCCCTCGTTGACCTCCTCCGCTTTCTCCTCCTTTGTGTTTTCCCCCTGCACTCCCCCACCAGCCCCTCGGCCCTCTCCCCCCTCGCGTCCATCTCTGCTGCCTGCTGTCTCGCTACTCCTGTGGCCTCCAGCAGCCTCCCTGTCCTCAAGATCCGTCTCTCCCGCTTCTCTTGCCACCTGCCCGTGTGTGCTCCCTGTCGCCCCTCCCCTCACAGCCTCTGCCTCCTCTTGCACCCCGCTCGCACTCCCCACAGCCACCCTCTGTTCCCCTACACCCTCCACTTCCATCCCTTCCCCTTCCCGCTGCTCCCCCTCCTGTCTCCCATCGCCTCTCTCTCTCTTTACCCCCCTTACTGCTGCTCTGCTGCTCTCTCTCCCCGTTCCCCCCCTCCTCCTGCTGCACATGCTCCTTCCCACCTGCCTCACCATCCCCTGCCTTCTTCCGCTCTTCCTCCAATGTGCCTTCCACCCCAATCGCCACTTCACCCCCTTCCGGTGGCTTCAGAACCCCCCTCACAAACACCCGCGCATCCTCGTTATAAGCCCGCACCCGCCCCTCCACCCCATTCACCCTTACATTCCGCCTCAAATACTCCACACTGGCCGGATTCAAGTCATTCGCAAGCACAGCACACCCCGCCTTGGCAGCCGGCACGGCAAACGGCCCCACCCCAGCAAACATATCAACCACCACATCTCCCCTTCTAAAAAACGCATCTACCAGGCGCTTGTGCTCGTGCTCGAGGCGCGAGTTCCAGTACACGCACGCGTAGTCCACGTGGAAGGTGGCGCCGTGCTGCCTCACGGACGTCTCGAGGTGCGAGGAGGAGCCCTCGCCTGCGATGAGCTCGAGCGTGGGCACGCGGAACTCGTTCTCGATGATGCCGCTCTTGTTCACCACTGTTTTGATCAACGGGGCGTTCTTCTGTAGGGAGTGCGGGGCGTGTAGGTTTGAGAGGGACGAGGCAAAGGGGGCAAGGAGGGATGCAGAAGAAGACGGTTGGAGTTCCAGTACACGCGCGCGTAGTCCACGTGGAAGGTGGCGCCGTGCTGCCTCACGGAGGTCTCCAGGTGGGAGGAGGAGCCTTCGCCTGCGATGAGGTCGAGCGTGGGCACGCGAAACTCGTTTTCGATGATGCCGCTCTTGTTCACCACCGCTCGGATCAACGGGGTGTTCTTCTGTAGCAACGGGGGCACGAGGGTTCGAGACGGACGAGGCTAATGGGAGAGGTGCAGAAGAAAAGGCAGACGGGGCATGCGGAACTCGTTCTCGATAATGCCTCTTTTGTTCACCACTGTTCGGATCAAGGGGGTGCAGGGAGTGGGTGGGACGAGTTGATTTGGGAGAGAAGAGGCAAGGATTGATGCAGAGGAAGTGGTGCGGGAGGAAGCAGACGGCAGCACAGCTTGCCACGTAGAGGTGATGAACGAGAGGTCGCACACGACATTTGAGGCGCCTCAAAGGAGCCTACAGGCAACAGACCTTCTCCTATCCCCATTCCACCGTAAATCTCACCTCACAAGCGCACCTCACAACCTCACCTCATCACCTCACCTCAACCTCACCTCCAGCAGGACTTTCCCAATGACAAAGCGGTAGGGCAGCAGGTCATCGCGCAGGTTCACATGCGCTATGTGGCCTGCCGCGCATGGGGACAGGGAGGGGAGGGCGGTGGGTTGGGGATGGGTTTGAGGTGCGGCAACTCACGAGCAGATGGCAGCACAGGCTCACATGCATGCTGTGGCTCACATGCATGCTGTGGCTGACATGCATGCTGTGACTGACATGCATGCTGTGGCTCACATGCATGCTGTGGCTCACATGCATGCTGTGGCTGACATGCATGCTGTGGCTCACATGCATGCTGTGGCTCACATGCACCACAAGAACACGCCTTCTAACCCAATGGGTTGGTAATGGGGCTGAGAAAACACAAGCCACACGCTATAGTACCCATCATACATACTCAAGGTATAATACCTGCCTCACGGTACACCTCATGGTACACCTCATGGGACACCTCATGGGACACCTCATGTTATACCTCATGTTGCACCTCATGGTACACCTCATGTTACACCTCATGTTACACCTCATTCATGTTACACCTCATGTTACACCTCATGTTACACCTCATGTTACCATGCCTACCTACGGCTGTGACTATGCCAAGTGGGTGGTGGGCGCGTGGGTGGTGCAGGTGGGCTCACCGACAGTCTCGAATGCCGTGGGCACTTCCACCCCTGGCGGCAGCAGCTTCCTCAGTATGTGGTCTGCAGGCGGGTGGGAGGGAGTGAGACGGGGTTGTGGGAGGCGTGTCGACAGAGAATGAAGGCATGCCTGATCAAACAGCCCCAAAGGATATCCCAAAGCAGGGAGTGTGACTATATTGAATAAACAGCCCCATCTGAGACACCTTGGACCGCACTTAACCCCGTGCGAGCCAGAACGAATATCCCAAGCAGAGAGAAATCATGTGTGATCAACTGGGACACACGGATAAACAGCACAAGCCAGAATGGAGCCCGTTAGAGTAAGCGCTGCTGACCTGCGGGCCAGTAGGAGTAGTCGAGGCGCTGCTCGTACGTGGTGACGTTCCACAGCCCCTCCTGCTGCAGCTGCTGCCGCACAGCCGCTGGCAGATCTGGTGCGAAACAAGCACACCAAGGAACAACGGTAAGCGATTGGAGATTGAACGACTCGTGAATTGCTACTGCCCAGGCTGTGGAATGGACGGTGGGAGAACTGGTGAAGAGCAGGCATGAGGGAACTCGGTGGTAGGCAATAGTGCGGCTCTAAACATGTTTCCAGTGCTGTGGGATGGATGATGAGCGATCTGATGGACAAGATTATAAGTGATGGCTCAACTCAACACGCTGCTGCTCGTGCTGCCAATTGCCGGTGGGAGGACATCAGTGCAGCAGTGCAGCGTGGTGCAGCGGTGCAACGGTGATGTGCAGTCCATTCATGTCCCCCTGCGTCTTTCAAAAACCCCAAACCCTCGCCCTCACATAAACCTTGGCATTTCTTCACTCATATGCTGTCTACGGCTCGCTGAAATATATTTGATCTGATTTCCAAACCCCAAACCCTAAATCCTGACTTTGCTTGTTGCACCCACCCCTTGAGGCGTCCTTGATGACGTCATCCAGCAGCACGAGGCGCAGCGAGGCGTCGCTGGGGTGCGGCAGGATGTGACGTAAGCGAGGGCGGTCGAAGGTGTGACTGTAGCGAAGGGCAGGAGGGGGGAAGTGGGGAGGTGAGTTGGGATGAGTGAGGGGGGGACGGGGGTGGTTTGTGGGGAAGGAATTGTGTGATTTGGAAATGGAGCGTCTGGAGGTAGGCAGGAAGGATGTGGCGACGAGTGGTATGGTCGCAGCCTCGTGCGTCTGTACTGCTGGCGCGCCCAGCCCGCACGTGCCAACTATTCCTCCACGCGCGTTCCTCAGTCGCTATGTGACCCAGTCGGTCACGCGACGCGGTCGTCCATGCGACCTGGTAGCTCATGAGCCCCACCATTGGACACCTGGTAGCCCATGAGCCCCACCATTGGACACCTGGTAGCCCATGAGCCCCATTGGACACCCACAATCCTGACGCACCCGTGAACGATGCGAGAGGTCTGTTGCGCCAGCCGAGCAGGCACGGCGAGGGCCTGTAGCGGGATGACAGTAACGAATTGCTCCTTATCGAACTCGGCTGGATGCACGATGTCAGCGACGGAGTTGCCTACGGCGTGTGCGACTTCTGCGACTGGCTTGTCGCCTGCGACATGTGCAGCTACTATCTCGGTACGATCGCTAATGTCGGCCGTGGCCGTTGCCACAGAGTTCGCCATTGCCACGTCAGCTTCTTCAGCTGTGGCCATAGGTGTTGTGATTCAAACCTAAGCTGCTCGAGCACGCTTTCAAACAGCGGCGATGGAAGCTCACTCGCGTCGTCTGGTTACCCTAAACTCATGTGGTCGCATAAAATCATGCAATGTGGAGTGAAGCGATATAAAATGATTGGTTTGGTCGCGTAGCGGCAGCTTCGAACCATAAAATGATGAGGGCGCGAAACACTTCGGTACAATACCTTTTGAAACTGCGTGGTACACTGCGGTACCTACTTCGTCAGTGTAACTAGGCGAGAGCGAAGTCGTCGTCCGCGATTTCGCCAACTATGATCCTCATCCGAATGGATGTCTCTGTTGTCGAGAGTTTTGCTCAATTCCGCGGAGTCGCGGTGTCAAACATATGTTTATATCATATTTGTGGGTAGGCTGTAGTGGGGTAGATTATGTGGGGTATAACCCCTTAGGGTTTTCCCTTGTACTCAATCCTCTCAATAGTGCAACTCACTCATGCCTAGCTTCTAAGATGGTATCTAGAGCATAGGTCTTTAGGACCTAAGTTTAGGGCCCACCGTTCATCACTTTACCTCACCTACGGCTTGCCTGCCTTGCCTGCTGCCCGCGCGCGCCTCGGCTGCATGCGCGCGGCCATTTTTTTTTTTCCCGCGCGCCACTTAAATAGCCCGCGCGCAGCCCGTTTTCGGCCCCGCGCCACGTTAGCCGCCCGCGTCGCCTGCTGCCGTCCCGCGCGCTGCTTAAATCGCCCGCGCATAGCCGCCTAGGCCCCGCCCGCGCGGCCCGCCGCCGCACGCAGCCCGTAGCCGCGCGCAGCCCGTCGCCAAGCACAGGCAGCAGCCGCGCGCAGCCCACAGCCGCACGCAGCACGTCGCCACGCGCAGCCAGCAACCGCGCGCAGCCTAGAGCCGTGCGCAGCAGCAGCAGCAGCGCGTGCCCTGCCTGCCTTGCGCCTGCAGGCCTGCCTGCCGGCCTGCCTGCCTGCTTTGCGCCTGCCTTCCTGCCTTGCGCCTGCCTGCCTTGCACCTACTGGCCTGCCTCCCTGCCTTGAGCCTGCCGGCCTGCCTGCCTGCCTGCTGGCCTGCCTGTCTGCCTTGCGCCTGCCTTGCCTTGCACCTGCCTGCCTTGCACCTACTGGCCTGCCTGCCTGCCTTGAGTCTTCCGGCCTGCCTGCCTGCCTGCTGGCCTGCCTGCCTGCCTTGCGCCTGCCTTGTCTTGCACCTTCCTGCCTTGCGCCTGCCGGCCTGCCTGCCTGCCTACCGGCCTGCCTGCCTGCCTTGCGCCTTGCCTACATTGCGCCAGCCTGCCTTGTGAGCCTGATAGCTACTGTGGTCTGCTGCTTTTGCCTACGCTGCTGTAATGGCGACACTTAACGTTCTCGCGTTTAAGCCTGGCGGTCGCCCGGTAGAGTTTGCCACTTGGCTTGACGACCTGCAGCTATTTCTTATGACGGATGCCAAAGACGGCGTTTCTCTGTTCGATCACGCGTCTGGCACTGCCGCTGCCCCTGCTGCCACTGATCCTGCTCTTGACCGCTCACAGTGGCAGACTCGCGATGCTGCTGCGCGCCTCGCTATCCGTAACCACCTGCCGATCACTGAGCGCACGCATTTTAGTCAGCACAAGACTGCTAAGGCGCTATATGACGCTGTAGTTGCGCGCTATTCCTCCCCAGCCACCGCAGCCGTTGGACGTCTCATCCTGCCCTACCTGTTCCCCGACCTTTCCTCGTTTACCACAGCTGAGGACCTGATCTCGCACCTCCGCACTAGTGACGCCCGCTTTCGTGCCGCTCTTACCGACGAGTTCCTAGCCACGAACACCCCACCGCTGTACTTTACCCTCTACATCCTCGTCACTCGCCTCCCTGACACTCTTAGCTCGGTCAGGGACCATTTCCTCGCCAAGGACCCTACCACTATCACTCTAGCCGACTTCGAGCAGCAGCTCCTAGCAGCAGAGAAGAACATCCTCGCTGTAGGTGCTGCCCGTGGCACTCCGCGCACTCCCCTCTTTGAGGGGTGCTCCCCCTCCCCTCTTGCCCCCTCCTACGCCTCAGCTGCTGCTGCAGTTGACCTCCTCGGTGCTGAGAAGGTCGCAGCGGCTTCCGCTCCTAGTGGGAAGCGCGGCGGTGGCAGGGGCGGCAAGGGTGGCAGGGGTGGTGGCGGTGGCGGTGGAGGGAGCGGATGGATGCACGATGTCAGCGACGGAGTTGCCTACGGCGTGTGCGACTTCTGCGACTGGCTTGTCGCCTGCGACATGTGCAGCTACTATCTCGGTACGATCGCTAATGTCGGCCGTGGCCGTTGCCACAGAGTTCGCCATTGCCACGTCAGCTTCTTCAGCTGTGGCCATAGGTGTTGTGATTCAAACCTAAGCTGCTCGAGCACGCTTTCAAACAGCAGCGATGGAAGCTCACTCGCGTCGTCTGGTTACCCTAAACTCATGTGGTCGCATAAAATCATGCAATGTGGAGTGAAGTGATACAAAATGATTGGTTTGGTCGCGTAGCGGCAGCTTCGAACCATAAAATGATGAGGGCGCGAAACACTTCGGTACAATACCTTTTGAAACTGCGTGGTACACTGCGGTACCTACTTCGTCAGTGTAACTAGGCGAGAGCGAAGTCGTCGTCCGCGATTTCGCCAACTATGATCCTCATCCGAATGGATGTCTCTGTTGTCGAGAGTTTTGCTCAATTCCGCGGAGTCGCGGTTCGTTTTATTATCACCACGTGGCATGCCTTCGATCGCGTGAACCGCGATCTGTTTTATTGTTATCACAAACTTCAAGAGCAGTTTAGTTAAGTTCTGTACTGCGCTGCCCGCGGGCAAGAATTGTACAGAGCTTAACTAAATTTCTCTTGAAGTTTGTGATAACAATAAAACAGTTCCCGGTTCACGCGATCATAGGCTCGCCACGTGGCGAAACTAAATCGAACTGCGCTTCCGCGGAATTGAGCAAAATTCTCTCTGTTGTCGCTCCCTTTTGCCCGTGGGTGGGAACGAAGCCGTCATCGCTCTCCCCAGCGGCGGAACGGATCGGGGAACTGGAACCCTGCCAGCTGAAACACCCAAGCTCTGTTCCCCATCCCACCTGGGCCCCGCACCTCTCGCGCGTGTTCCCCATCGGCGACACGTAACCCAACCTCGTTACAGTACCTGAAACCAGAAGATCAGGCAAATAAATATGCGAAAACAACAGCCCGTGGCAAAGTAGCCCCACGCGATTCATGCGACTGAACAAAGACCCTTCCTCGCCGAGTTCGCCAGCGTCACCTTTCGTTAGGCGAGAAATAATCAGACGTGAACAAGACGTAGCCTATGCAAGATGTGACTTCGCCGCATGTCCTGTCTCGAAAACAGCATGCGCGACGACGACTAGTCCAAGTACCTCTGCTCTTCACTGTAGTGATATCCTAGGCTTATCTGATTGGTTCTAGGACTGGACATTAGACAGATGTCATGTATATAATCATTGGACACCACCGTGTTCCTAATTTTATAAATCTGAATGGCGACCTGAGCGATCTGCTCGAGGCGCCCTTGCTGTTATCCTAGTACATTAGGAGATGCCAAAATGTTGTAAACTATCATACGATTGTTAATAAAGTGAACTTGCTTCCTTCATCCTTCAAATCCTCTGAGAGTGATTTCTACTGGTACTCAGCTCAGACAGCTTCCCCTGCCGCGCTGCCGCTCCCCCTGCCGCGCTGCCCGCAACCCGCTTCCCCGCTTCTCGGCTCATCTACTGGTACTGCCGCTCCCCCTGCCGCGCTGCCCGCAGCCCGCTTCCCCGCTTCTCGGCTTCCCCGCTTCCCCGCTTCCCCTCTTCTCCGCTTCCCCGCTTCCCCGTTTCCCCGTCCCCGCTTCTCCGCTTCCCCGCTTCCCCGCTTCCCCGCTTCTCCGCTTCCCCGCCTCCCCGCTTCCCCCGCTTCCCCGCTTCCCCGCTTCCCCGCTTCTCCGTTTCCCTGCTTCTCCGCTTCCCCGCTTCCCCGCTTCCCCGCTTCTCTCCGCTTCCTCCGCTGCCTCCACTGCCTCTAGTACCTCGACCTCTTGCCCCGCCACGTGCGGCCAGGCGCTGCCGTCACCTTTGCGTCCATTTGTCCAGATTCAAGCGTCGATGACGTCATCAGGGATCTCCAAGTGTGCCAGTGACGTCAGTGGCCCTCTACTGCGCGCCAAGCTGCTCCCCTGGGCTGTCGCCGCCTTGCGTTCCGCCACCTCCCGCGCGTTCTCCGCCGCCAGCAGCAGCGCCGGGCGTTGCGCGCAAGCTGGGGGCGGGGGAGCAGGCGCGGCGGAACGATCCAGCGGAGGGGGGAACCTCGAGGCGATCAAGGAGATCCGCGCGCGCGCTGGCGCGCCGGTGAAGGACGTGAAGGCGCGGGTGGCAGCGGAGGGGCTGGTGGGGGTGACGACGCGGTGGGGCGTGGGGGCGGCGGTGGAGGTGAACAGCGAGACGGATTCCGTTGCCCGCAGCGACCTCTTTCAGATGCTTGTGAGTGCGCCTTGTGGGCCGTGCGCCTTATGCTTGAGGCCGCTTTCGAGTCGACTCAAAAGTCACCTCGACTTGTGGGGGCTGTGCTTGAGCCGTGAAGTACTAGCCTTCAGGCTCAAGTCAAGGCTGTGCTTGAGCCCGACCAAAACCTTGACTTGAGCCGTGAAGCACGAGCCTTCAGGTTGATGTGCACGTGAAGGAAATAGTCAATTCGTTTTCTCCAAATGCTGACGAAAAACAAATAAATACTGTACCACTTCCATACGGACGGCTCAGAGGGTTCAGAGGGCTTAGAGGGCTCAGGGGGGTTTAAAGTGAACCCTCTCGGCCGTGGGTGCATCTTTTGCTGCCACTACATGGGCCACACCTCTCCACCGCCCGACATCACATCCCTCCGATCTCTCACCCCACCTCTCACCCCACCTCTCACCCCACCTCTCACCCCACCTCTCATCCGACCTCTCACCCCACCTCTCACCCCACCTCTCACCCCACCTCTCATCCCACCTCTCACCCCACCTCTCATCCCACCTCTCACCCCACCTCTCACCCCACCTCTCACCCCACCTCTCATCCCTCCTCTCACCCCACCTCTCATCCCTCTTCTTACCCCACCTCTCATCCCTCCTCTTACCCCACCTCACATCCTCCTCTCATCCGTCCTCTCATCCTTCTCCCTCGCTTTTCTCTCCCTCTCTCCCTCCACTCTCCTTCCTGTCGCTCCCTCTCTGCAGGTCTCTAAGGCAGCAGCAGCCGCAGCATTGAACTTTCACCCCTCCCCTTCCTCTCTCTCTGCCTCCTCCTATCGCCCTCTTCCTCTCCCCCTAGAGAGCCTTGAGGTGAGTGTGGCATTAGATAACGTGACATTAGTTTGCATGGCAGTAGTTGGCGTGGTGTTTGTGAGTTTGCCTTCTCACCTGCCCTTTTTCCCTTTTCAAGTGGATGTTCAATCTCTCTCGCTCGCCTCTCCTCACTTTCACTCACCCTCATGTCAGAATGTTGTATTTGTCTAGCCTGCAGTGGGGTACTCTATAGCGAGTACAGCCCAATCTAGGGTTTCCTATATGTACTCAACTGCTTGCTAGTGCATCTCCCCTTTCTTGTTCTAAACTTCTCCTCGTACTTCTGACATGCTATTAGAGAGTGTCCTTCCTTGGCCTGTGGGCCCACCAACCTGCTTCCGCTGCTACTCGATCTGTCGCACGCCCCGTGGCGTGCGACGGGCGCGCGGCAGTTTACTCTCTGGCGCGCGCCCCGAGGCGCGCGGCCCCTTTTCTTCTTGGCGCGTCGTCCCCGCTGCTCCGTCGCGACGCCCTGGGGAGACGCGCGCGCCCCCTGCCCGTCCGTCGCGGCGCCCTGGAGCGACGCGCACGTCCCCCGACCGTCCCGTCGCGGCGCCCTGGTGTGTCGCGCGCGGCCCCTGCCGTCCCGTCGCGGCACCCTGGCGAGGCGCGCGCGGCCACTGCTGCTCCGTCGCGGCGCCCTAGCCAGGCGCGCGCGGCTCCTGCTGGTCCGTCGCGGCGCCCTGGCCCGGCGCGCGCGGCCCCTGCTACTCCGTCGCGGCGCCCTGGCAAGGCGCGCGCGGCCCCTGCTGGTCTGTCGCGGCGCCCTGGCTAGGCGCTCGCGGCCCCTGCTGTCCCGTCGCCCCCCCCCCCTCCCTCCCCCGTGCCGCCCATTGCTCCCGTGCCGCCGTGCGTTCCGCGGTGGTGGGGGGTGTGGGGTGGCGGGCATGGGGGTGAGCGATGTGGGTGCTACCCTTCCCCTTCTCCTCCTCCTTCTTCGTCTCCCACTGCAGCAGCTGCTGCTGAGGGGGGTGGGAGTGTGGGAGCCGAGGGGAGTGGCGCTAGGGGGGTGACGTGGGAGTGGAGCTAGGGGTAAAGCAAGGGGTGTGTGAAAGGGAGGTGGGACAGTTTGGGGAGGTTGAGCGGAGGCTGCCGTCTTGTAGTCCGCAGCACCTGTAGTCCGGGGCGCTGTCCTGGTAGCCCAGAGAGCCTGCTGCGCCTGTCGCCCGTGGGTCCGTTGCTCCTGCCGCTCTTCGTAGCCGCCGAGCCAGTTACTCCAGTAGTCCGGGGCGCTGTCCCGGTAGCCACTGTGCCAGCCGCTCCTGTTGCCCGTGTGTCTGCAGCTTCAGCCGTCGCCTCCTATCTCCTCTCATCTTACAGTCCCGCCTCCTCCTCCTCACTTGTCCTTTGTGAATGCCTCTAGCTTTGCTTGCAATTGTGAACCTGCTCTATGACTGCGTGCTCTGCTGATTACACCCCACTTTGGCAATGGGGGTGTGTCAGAATGTTGTATTTGTCTAGCCTGCAGTGGGGTACTCTATAGCGAGTACAGCCCAATCTAGGGTTTCCTATATGTACTCAACTGCTTGCTAGTGCATCTCCCCTTTCTTGTTCTAAACTTCTCCTCGTACTTCTGACAACTCACGCTACAGGCCCCTCAACGCCATCGCTCCCCCCTCTCCTCTTTTCCCCCTCCCCACACCCCCGCTTCTCTCGCAGAACCTGAAAGCCCAGTGTTGCTTGAATACCAAAACCTGTCTGGGATTGGGTAACCGCCAGGATTTTTTAGGCGCCTCAAAAACCCTTTCCCACACTCCCTCTCACCATGGCAGCATTCGTACCCCTCGCTTCACCTAACCCCCCCCCCCCCCACCCCTTCCCCACACTCCCTCTCACCACCAGCGAGCCACTGTGTCGTTTGACCACCCGAAGCTGTCGGGAAGCCGCCAGCTGGCAGAGGCGGTGGCTGAGGTGGCAGCGCTGACTGGGGAGAACGTGCGCCTGCGCCGAGCCTTCCTGCTTCCCGCGCCTCGGCCTGGCTCGGTGACTGTGGCCACGCACCATCGCGGCAGCCCCGGATTTGGCTTGGGGCGGGTAGCTGGTCTTTTCTCTATCTCGATGTCTGAGGGGAATCGACTGGCAGATGTAGGCCTTGAGGTGGCACAAGGATTGGCGATGCACGTGTGTGTAATGAAGCCGCTGTATCTGAGGCGAGAGGATGTGCCGGCAGAGGTGGTGGCGAGGGAGGTTGACGTGGTGCGAGCTCAGGTGGGTGTGGGTCAATGCTCGTCAACAGTTGGGTCAACATTAGTCAACACGTGGGTCAACGCTAGTCAACGAAAGGCCAGTACATGTCAACTGATGGGTCAGCGCTGGTGCAAACGGTCAGCTCAAAATCACCTCTCCGCTCGTCCAACCCGTCTCCTCTGCAAGCAAGCGGAGCAACATGGTGGGGAAAATAATATTGTGGCGCCTGAAAGGCTTGTTAGTGGCAGTGTTTTGTGGCTCCTCTTTTCCTCTCTTCCTCCATCCAAGCTTTTCAGGCTCCTCTTTCGCTGTCCCCTCGGCGGGCAAGGCAGTGGGCAAGGCAGTGGGCAAGGTGGTTTGAGACATCTCAAAACTCCCTCTATTTCTCTCGAACGGTCCTTGCATTAATCAGGGGGGTGTTACAAGGAAGATGCAAACTCAAGCAAAACAAACCACCAGAGCACAATTCTACCTAACACACCTACTTCTTCCCACTCCCGACCCTCTCTGTCCGACCCTATTGGCCGAACGGTGCCTCAATCAGCTGGTGCAGCTGTCCCTCGCTGAGAGGGACGATGGGGCCCTGCATCCCGAGCTCATCCGCTGCCAAGGCCTCGTTGGTCTTGGAGCGGAGGGCATTGGCCTGCGCTCTCTGGAGGAAGACACTCCAGCGCTGGCGGTACTCCGTCAGCAGCTTGGCTGCCTCGTATGAGGTAGGTGCTGCGTTGTAACGCAGCTTGGCCGCCAGCTCCGCGCACTGCCGCAGGTAAGCCATCACCCCCAGGGAAGGATAGCCGTATGTCTCGACTGCGAGGGCGTGGAAGCCCACCCACGCGTTCCTCCGCGCATACTTCTCCTCCTTCCTAGCTGCTGCCGCTCTTGCCGCCCACCCTGGAGCCCTACTGCACTCTTCATCCTGGTAGGACACGGGGTCAGTCACAGTCACGTCACACAACCACACCTCTCCCGTCAGGGGATGGCGGATGGTGACATCCGCCTTTAGGTTTTCAACGAGAGAGTAGACGTATGTTTCTTTGTGCACAGTGAAGCCCGCCTCCGCCCCGATATTGGCTATCTCAACTCTAAGGGCGTGGTGCGTAGCTGTCCTCCCCTTCCCCTTCTCGCAGCGCAGGAGGTGGTTGGGGAGGCGGTCATCAGGGAATGTGGTGCGGTACCGGCAGTTGCAGCGCCTAGGCACGGGGAGGGGGAGGCTTAGGCGGAAGGCGGCTGCAGTAGAGAGCTGCGAGGGGCCCATTCGGAGCGAGGGGATGAGGGGGATCGCCAGCAGCCAGTCCCCTGCTCCCGGGCCCAGCACTGATTGCATCCGCTGCGCGTGGCCAGAGAGGGGGTTGGGGCGCATCCGCCTCGCCTCGTTCATCACCCCGTTGTATTTCTCTCTCTCTCCGCCCACACAGGCTGTGGCAGGAGGCAAGGCAGCAGGCGTGGTTGAGAAGATGGTAGCGGGGCGCCGGGGCGGCTTAAGGCTTGCTACAGACAGGCTTGTGAAACTCCTCTTTTTCTCTCCCTCCTCTTTTTCTCTCCCTCTCTCCCTCCCTCTCCCTGCCCTGCAGGCTGTGGCAGCGGGCAAGCCAGCGGGCATGGTAGAGAAGATGGTAGCAGAGCGGCTGAGAAGGTTCTACCAGGAGATGGTGCTGCTGGAGCAGGCGCATGCCATGGATGAGAAGTGGACAGTGCAGGTGAGCGTTGAGTGGTGGGTGGGAAGCGCGTCTGTGCGGAATGGGCAGCTTGTACATACTGGGAGGTGCTGTTGCTGGAGCATCCGCATGCCCTGGTCGATAAAAGAAGTGTGCAGGTGAGGACCATGTGGCTCACACGTGCCTTCTCATTTGGTCTCAAGGGAATGGCGGTGCTACTGGAGCAGCCATATGCCCCTGGATGACAGGCGCACTGTCCACGTGGATGCCCTGTGGTGCACACGGGGAGGTGGTGCTGCTGGGGCAGGCCTATGCCCTGGATGATAAGTGCAGAGCACCATGCAGGTCAGAGTTGAGTTGAGTAGCGAGGCTGACTGAATTGAGCGCCCTGCAGGTGAGTGACCTACTCACGCGCGCTTTTTCATTAGTTTCCACGGAATGGCGCTGCCCATACGGTGCTGATGCTGGTGCTTGCAGAGTTCTACTGTGGGTGAGAGCGAGGCAGTGGAGGTGGGGATTCTGACCTGTGCGGAATGCAGCAGCTGATGAATTGGCTCCGTGCTCTCCATTGTGCTCGTGTTTTCTCCTCGCTGCCATGTAGCCCATGCAGCCCATGGGGTCATCCATCTAGCCAATGGATAATATTGCCCCATGCCCCGCTCCGCCCCATGCCCCGCTCCGCCCCATGCCCTTCTCCTCTGAATTTGTCCGCGTTTCTTTGCTCTGCTGAGCCCATTTTGCTCTGCGCCCTCCAACCCATGTCCCGTAGGAAGTGTTAGCAGGAGCTTCCAGGAAGGCTGGGGCAACGATCCGAGTGGAGCGGTTCTTACGCCTGGAGGTTGGAGAAGGCATTGAAAGGTAAGGTTGGGTCTTACGCTTATATTCTTACGGCGTATGGCTGGTTCTTACACATATTATTGACGAGGATAATTAGTGCATTGCCGTTGTGGGGTGGCATTTCTATTTCACTTTCACACAAGTGGCTAACTATCCATTCCTGTGCTCCAATGGTGCCATGTGGCAGGGAGGCCAATGGCTTGGCATCTGAGGCGGCATCACAGGTGGCCTTATCCTTGTGAGATCCAGATAGCATGGCAGCAGCAAGACAGCACGATAGCACGGCAGCATGATAGCATGACAGCATGCGGTAGCAACATGGCAGCAAGATAGCAAAACAGCAAGACAGCATGACAGAATGAAGCATACTGTAATCACCCGGATATTAGACCCCCATTAGTAGACCTCCCGGGTCTATAATACAGACCTGGATCTTTATAAAGGTCACCGGTATTCGTTCTTGAGGAATGAGCAAGTTAGTGCATGTGAGAAATCTATGTTCAGCATTGTTTTAGAATTGTACGTGTGTTTCCGGCAGTCGAAATTGCTGTTAGTGGGTACGGCTGTTGATGCGGAAATTGGCCGCGCCACTAGGATCTCCAGTTTGTGTGCGCGGAGTGTCGCTTATCTGCGACTGTTATATGAGATGGCTTTTTCCCGCGCGAATGTCTTCGCGAGTCATTTTTTTTGGATCAGGAGTTAGCGGGTCAACGTACATATTCGCATAAATTCCTACCCAACCATCTAGTGCTATAATTAGACCTAACTGGATCATGTCCAAACCTTTTTCAACCGTACTCGGACGTGCCCTCTGGGCACGCCCCGAGTGTGTTCCCCGTGCCCGATATTTTCGCCTGGGTCTCCGTTTTCGCATCACCATTCGTCGTCGTGAAAACCCCGCGATATGTTGGAAGCGGAACACTGTGTTGAGGCGGGACGAGGGTGGGGAAGAACCGAACCGACGTCTGGGCCTGAGATGTACATTCCCGCTAAACCTGTCTTGAACCTTCTTGAAAGCTCTGCAAAGCAACGCAACCTTCTTGAAGCAGTAATTGATGAAGCGGGGACGAACCACAGTGGGAGGCACAGTCACGAACGAGATTTGGTCCTGACAGCATATGCGCTGCCCGCGCATACATTTCCTCCCAAACCGCATCCCTTGCCAAAACGTCGGCGTATCATCTCACGACACGTCGTGATTGCAGCCACCAATTCATTCCAATCCACATCCCTTCCCTTGCCCCCACGGGAACTTCCACTTCCCCTGCCCTCCAACCGTCGGTACACAGTCCTTGGAATATTAATTGCTTTGCATTGCACAGCAAGTCACTATCACAAGTTCCATTCTCTTGAAACCAGAAAACCAGCAGCAATGGCCCGGTACCCATCGTCGACGCGCGCCCTCACCCTCGTCGTGCTTTTCTCCGCGTCACTTTGGGTAGCGAGCCTCCCGCGCTCCGCGAATGCAGTTCAGCTCTCCTACGTGCTGTCTCAGGTCCGCAACAAGACCAACACGGGCGTCAGCGCGGACATATCGGCGGGAATGGTGGAATTCGCCGCCGGATACAACAAGGTCGATGACATCACCGGTGGCTCGCTTCTTCTGCCCAGCAACGATGGCTGGACTAACGCACTTGCGGGCTACAAGAAAATCAACCCAGCTGCTACAACCTCGTCGGACCCGGTTCTCGAGGCGCTTAGTACAATTGTGTCCTCGTCGGGGTCACTGTCGGCCCTCAACGGCATGTCCGCCAACGCCAAGAACGCCATGTCGCTGAAGGAATATATTAGAGAGCGTAGCGATAGCGAGAGAGTCTCTGCTATGGGAATGATGTTGCGCCAGCAACTTGGTAGAGTTTTGGTAGCGTTTGCCTCTAAGGACTTTGTGAGAATTGAAGTAGCATTTGGGCCAAGTAGAATTGCAATATAAATTATCAAACACACAAGCAAACACAAACATATATAGGCAAGCAAGAGTTGCACAATTGTTGCGTGGCGCTGCGAGTAACCCAACCCACACGAAAGTGCTGTGCAGGTGGGTGAACGCGCCCCGCACATTTCCAACCCAACTCGGCACCGGAATGTCTTACCGTGCACGCTACTCCTGCCAACACAGCAAGTGAGCAGCGTGCCTCACAAGCAAGGCACCTACGACCCCCAAGACTCGTCATTCCTAGCACCGATTCCGCCGAGTTCGCTGCAGTAGCTCACAGTCACCCGTAGTCACTAATGACCGCCACCGAACTCGTGCGTCGGTGCCGAGTAGACTCAGTCGTTAGGCGCCGACCTGCCAAGTCAAAGGTCATCGAGGGCCCTTGCTGTCGCAGGGCCCTCTAACACTCCCCTGCCATACTACAGCAAGGCCCTTTATAATCACAGGGCATGCATACACACATACACACCAAAACAAAGGGATACACACAAACGAAACACGCTCAAAGTGTAAACACGCACCGCACCAGCCATGGATAGGCCATGGCACCATCCACATCATGGAGTGTCTAGGTCTTCACTCCCCTCACTCGAGAGCCGCACCTGCCCCACAGCCTCGAAGCAACGACTGAAGGCGGGGAAATGCAATGCCTTTGTGAGGTAGTCAGCAGGCTGCTCGCTCGTAGGGATGTACTGTAGCTGCAGCTTCCTGCGCTTGACCATGTGCTGCAGCCACATGTGACGACGCTCCATGTGCTTGAGGCTCCCCTTGAGCCCCATGCCACCTGCCACTGAAATGGCGGAGGAGTTGTCCACAAAGAGAGTCGTGGGCTCCTCACTCCTCAGCAGTTGAAACTCTGCCAGCAGGAAGCGCAGCCTGCGCGCCTCCTTCCCAGCCTCCACAGCAGCAATGTACTCAGACTCAGTGGAGGAAAGGGTGGCGCAACGAATCCGCTGGCTCGCCCATGAGACAGCAGCACCCCCGAGCACGAAGACATAGCCACCTGTGCTGGTCCTGTTCTGCTTGTCCCCTGCATCATCAGCATCGGCGTAGCCCACCAGCTCCAAGGACTCCGGCCCACCACCAAACTCCAGCGCCACATCCCTGCTCCCCACGAAGTACGTCAAGCACCGGTTCAACTCCTTCCAGTGCTGATCACTCCGCACAGTCTGGCCCGACCCCAGCTTGCTGCAGGCGAACGAGATGTCGGGACGGGTGGTACAGGCCGCGAACTGCAAGGATCCCACCTTCTGCCTGTACTCCTCCTCCTGGCGAGACTGCCATCCCACATCCTCGAAGGTCTGCACACTGAAAGGGTCAGAGGAAAGAGGGGTGCGAGGCACTCGCAGCGGCTGCTCCCCGTCAAAGAAGCGCCTATGGACCTTGTCCACATAGGCCCCCTGGTGCAGCCACAGCCTCCTCGTGGGCCTGTCCCGAATCAGCTGCAACCCCAGATATTTCTCCACATGGCTAATCTCCCGCAGCTGAAAGGCACTCTGCAGCAGGTCACGCAGCTCCGCTAGCATGCTCTGACTGCGGCTGGCAGCAAGCAGGTCATCCACATACACCAGCAGCCAGCACATCTCCCCCGCAGCATCAGTCTTGAAGTACAGAGCCTCATCCACCTTGCTCTTCTTCCATCCAGCCCCAAGCAGCACCCCATCCAAGGCCTCATACCATAGCATCGGGCTCTGCTTGAGCCCATACAGACTCTTCACCAACTTACATACACGAGGAGTCCCATCCTCGTAGTAGCTCGGCTGCTCCATGTAAAGGTCTCGGTCCAGCACGCCATGGAGGAACGCGTTCTTCACATCGAGCTGCATCAGGTCCAAATCAAGTGCAGCTGCAATCGCCAGAAGCACACGCGCCGTCACATAGCTTCCCACAGGGGCGTACGTCTCCTCATAGTCCAGCCCTGCCACCTGCGTGAACCCCTTCACCACCAGCCTCGCCTTCTCACGCTCCACTATCCCATCAGGTCGGAACTTGGTGTTCAAAATCCAGCGGTTCTTCATCACATTCACCCCTGGCGGACGCGGAACCAACTCCCACGTCCCCTGCTCAATCAAGCTCCGCATCTCCTCATCCATCGCCTCCTTCACCTTGTCTCCCTTCCAGCAGCTCAAGGCCTCCTTCACTGTCATTTTTGCTATGTCCCACTGCCTCTCAGGATCAGCTGCCACGTCCGGGTCCAGGTTAGTCCACTCCTCGTCCTCCTCCTCGTCATCCAAGCCCGCTGGCTCAACCACTACAGCCCAAGCGTATCGAACAGGCGGGACACCACGAGTGATGCGAGTGGAGCGACGCAGTGGTGCAGTGGTCGTCCCAGAAACCAACACACGACCACCATCTCTAATTCCCCACATCTCCTGCTCCCCCGTCTGCGGCTCCCCTGTCTGCTGCTCCCCTGGCTGCTGGTCCACCATCTGCTGGTCCCCAATCTGCTCCTCCCCTATCTGCAGCTCCCCACTCTGCTGCACCTCTATCTGCTGCTCCCCTATCTCCATCCCCCCACTCTGCTGCACTCCATCCATACTACTCTCATCCTGCAGCTGCTCAGTCACAAGGCGCTGCCCGTCGGTGATCACCATGGACGGCGGCACCACTATCCCCCCCTCACCAACGGGCGGTGCCGTGGAAGACGAAGAGGAGGGTGGAGCAGGTGTAGGAGGGATGGAGGGTGGAAGGGGAGATGGAATAACAGGAGGAGGAGGGGAAGCCAAGGGGGGTGAGGAGGAAAAAGGCGGGGCAGGGGGAATCACACGAGGGTAGACTGAAGGCGGAGGTGGGGTGGGGACCGAGGTAGGGACATAGGGCATAGCAGGAGGTGCGACCACCTCCTTCTCCTCCTCCGCCTCCTCGAGAGTGATCGGGAAGAGTGAGGGAAGGGGCTCATAGGGCATCGAACGCCCCCCATGCTCCTGCTGATTCCATCCTGCTAGGGACATGGTCTCATAGAACACAGCTTCCACAGTGGTGATGAGGCGGTTGGACTCCAAGTCCAGCACGGCCCAGCCCTTGCTCGCAGCTGACACACCCAAGTGCAACCCCCAGCGAGCCTTAGGCGCCAGCTTCCCCCCACGCTGCGA